TAAAACCCAATTTCGTAAGGAAACTTAGAATTGGGGGGGCACATGGGGAGGGTTCTACGGGAATCATCGAAGCCTTCCTCGTCTTCGGCCTCCTCCGTCAGCGCCACCACGACGTCGACGTCGGTGACGGAGACGGTGAACGGGTCTCACCAGTTCAAGATCACGGGGTATTCGCTGTCTAAAGGTTTGGGGATCGGCAAATACATAGCTTCTGACACTTTCATGGTGGGTGGATATTTGTGGGCGATCTATTTTTATCCCGATGGGAAGAGCCCCGAAGATAATGCCGCCTACGTTTCGTTGTTCATCGCTTTGGCGAGCGAGGGGACCGATGTTAGGGCGCTTTTTGAGCTCACACTTTTGGATCAGAGCGGGAAAGAGAGGCATAAGGTGCATAGCCATTTTGGGAGGACGCTTGAGAGTGGGCCGTATACGCTTAAGTATCGCGGCAGCATGTGGTAAGGGTTTCTTTTCTTTTCTTTTTTTTTTGGGTTGGGGGGGGGGGGTTTCTTTTGGGAGTTTGATCTTTTATTTTGGTTATTTTGATCGGAATTATGGCCTGGTTTTTTTGGGTTTTACTGTGGTGAATTTTATTTGGGATGATTGAAGTTTTGGTTGGTTTTGGGGTTTGATGGTTTAATGGTTCTTCTGTTGTAATTTGTAATGGGTTTTAAGTGTCTTGCTAGATACTGAGAAAAGCATGATGGGTTGCTTGTGGTTCTTTTGTTGTAATTTGTAATTCGAAGGTTAACTTTGTTGTTTAAGTGTGGTATCTTGAGTCCTTTTTTTTTTTGTTCCATTTATTGAGCTTTACGTTGGTTCTTAGGGAGCTGGGATGTTTGTATAACATGTATGTTGCCTATGTAGTGCATTAAATAGCAACACAATAGGGAGAATTTGGAGGAATGAGCTTCTCTTCTGTGACATAGATTGAGACATCAAAAGAGGTTGGGGTGGCTGGCAGAACATAATGTCACAAGTGCTAGCGATCTTGTGAATTTTGATGTGTTTTTTTTGGACAATCCTTTTTAGTTCACCGATAATTAATCTAAAATTATATTGTAAATGATACTAGTATCTATTCTGTGATACATGCAAATGCATTATGTTTTGCCCATTACTTGTTCTCCAGCTTACTTCCTGGCTGGCTTTAATATTCACTGTCATTATTATTATTTTTTCTTTCTTTCCTTCTCATTGTGTCATTAAGATTCTACGACATGCAAATCTTAATTTATTTTGAAAGATAAATTTAATGTCAAAATTATGTTTGTTGTTCTGGGGATAGGTTGATTGGCTCAGTGACAAGAAACAAAAGTCAATTATTGGGCAATATGACTGCTTTCTCATTTTGAGCTTTTCATGTGTATTAATGTTACTTTTTATTAAGTATTGTTACTAAATATTGAATGTTTTCAGCCAATTGTTTTAAGTTTGTACTTTTTTATATTTTGCAATTTTCTATTTGAATTATTTTCTGACGCATTGCTTGTATCTGGTTTCTGTTATGCTCAATGTCAATCCAAACAGTTTAATGCTTCTGCTGCTTGTGTATTTTGTATCATCGTATTAGTATTAAGTATTCTTTGAAGCATTTGGTTAGAGTCAAGTCAGACATACCAAACTCTTCTAATTGGTTGTTTTGTTTGACCTTAGCTAACTAGACAATAAATGTTTATTGGGACATTTGTGGGTTGCAATATATCAGCATTGACCCATGGGTTCTTAGCTTCCTATGTCTGATGGGGGATTTGTCAAGTTCTAGGGTTTGACTCCCTCTTCCCACTGAAAAAAAAACAACAAGAAGCATATTTTATTTGTTTCCCTTATTTATCGTGGTGTATGATAACCTTTGGTGAGCGGAGAAGTAAGTCATTTGATTTTGCTGCAGGGGATATAAACGATTTTTCAAAAGAACTCTACTGGAGCAATCAGACTACCTCAAAGACAATTGCCTTTCTGTTCACTGTAGTGTTGGTGTTGTTAAGTCACATACAGAGGGTCCTAAGGTCTACTCCATAGCTGTTCCGCCTTCAAACATCGGTCATCATTTTGGGCAACTACTAGAAAGTGGAAAGGGAACTGATGTAAGCTTTGAAGTTGATGGGGACGTCTTTCCTGCCCACAAGTTGGTTCTTGCTGCTCGTTCACCTGTGTTTAGGGCACAACTTTTTGGTCCAATGAAGGATCAGAATACACGGAAAATAAAAGTTGAAGACATGGAAGCTCCAGTTTTTAAGGTTCAGTACAATACCTCCTCTTCTTATGTTGGACAAAATCTCATGCTACTTATCCATGATAATGCATTGGCAATAGATGCATGGTGTCAACTTGCCATGGATAGCATGCACTGGCCTTAGATGTATGATGCCAACTGGCCGTGTTAGCATGCCTGATGTCAATAATTAGTTATTGAAAATTCCTTAATCAAAGCTATAGGGTGGGGTGGCTGATGCAATGTTTTAGAAGGCAGAATCTGAATGTGGCATGTCCTGTCTTAAGCTTTTAGTTAATTGCTTCATAGAACACTGATGTGTGTGGTCAATGGTTGTTCATATAGTGTGTAACTCATGAGTATTGGTTTCATTACATTTCTTAAAATTATGATATTTATGTCTTATCTCAAGTCTTCAATTATTTACTTGTCATGTCAAATCAAATTGACTATTAATATTCATGCAATCTATAGTAATGATTACTGATATACTATTATCTCTATGCCCTATTTTGTACTTTACAGGCTCTACTTCACTTTATATACTGGGATTGTCTACCTGACATGCAAGAACTCACTGGTCTCAACTCAAAGTGGGCATCTACATTGATGTCTCAGCATCTGCTTGCAGCTGCAGATAGGTATGGCCTAGATAGGCTGCGATTGCTCTGCGAGGCCAATCTTTGTGAGGGTGTTGCAATCAACACTGTGGCAACTACATTAGCCTTGGCCGAGCAGCACCATTGTTTCCAGTTGAAAGCTGTGTGTCTCAAGTTTGTTGCAATGCCAGAAAATCTAAGAGGTGAATATCTTTTTGGTTTGATATTTACATCAATATTGCATTGGGTATCCTATGTTATAACTCGTAAATGTCATTTTAGTAGAAAAAACTTAATTGAGTATGCTAATTATGAGTTGAACCAAGGTTCTTTGGTTCTTTAAACTGGAAATTATTGAAATTGTGGATGCATTAAGCCAAAATTGGTGAGAGGAAAAAAAATTGTCATAGAAGCATTGTATTTGAATGAGTCATCTTGTAGCTCTTTAATTCCTGGCTACGTAGAGGAGTTTGGTTGTAAAGTAAATAGGTTTTGTCATTTATTAAGATATTTCTTATTGTAATATTATGCCCCATAAATGCTAAAGTTAAATGCAGTCGCAGCTGGTTTGGCATAGAGTTTTTCTGTCGTGTGATTGTGTGTTTAGCCTTTCATGATAAATGCAACCATTCTTCTTGCAAGCAAACATAGGAAATGCTTAGTGTCCATTTCAAGATTTGGTACTTGTCTTTTGTCAAAAGCTTGGAATTTTCACCCTTCATACAACTGTTATGAATTGCTCCTTTGGGATTCAGCTAGTAATTTGACTGCATATGCATTATGCAATGGTTGTTGCAATGAGATGAAGACCTGAAGTGTGAGTTTTACAAGTGTTTAACTTTTGAAAGTACTTCCTCTACTTTTTCACAGAAAAGGCTATTGGGCTTGCACTATCAAAAAGTGCATAAATTTGGGAAAGGAAGTCATGTTGCTCTCTGCATTTGTATTAAACCTGATATACAGGGAAATCACATTGTTCATAGGAGTAGATGTTAAGTTTTTCTCATAGGAAGATATTTTTTTACAGTTTGGTTGCAGAAGCCCAAAAAGATTTTTTTTCTATGGTAATCTTGGATAAAACGAATGATTCTGCCTGCATTTATTCATATCCATCATCAGGCTGAAAATTTTTCTAAGTTGTTACAAGATTTATCCCAGTGTCAGCATTCTGGTTCTTGCAAAGTTTCTCTTATGTTGGATAAATCACAATGATGTGTGGTTTGTTGAACAATGTTTTCCTTGACTGAATTATTTATATTTTGTTTATTTGGTTTTGCAGCTGTAATGCAAACTGATGGATTTGAGTACTTGAAGGAAAGTTGCCCGTCTGTCTTGACCGAGCTCTTGGAGTATGTGGCTAGAGTGAATGAGCATTCAGTGATTGTATGCAGACATGGGAATGAGGCCATCCTTGATGGAAGTGATGCCAATGGTAGGCGGGTGAAGCAACGGCTATAGTAGCAGCAGCTTGCCATAGTTTCCTTTGTAGCTTAAAAAAAAAAATGAAGAAAAAAAAATGAATGAAGAAAAGGAAAATATATTTCTCTAGGATTAGGAAAAAATTTTCCAGTGCTAAGCTTTGGTATTTGTAAGAGATGTAAATGTAGTTGCTCATTTGGTGTCCATTGTTTGCGTTGTATTGGGAATGAGAAGTGCTTCCAAAATTGTAGCTGTTCCATAACTTACCCCTTCAGACTTGCAGTTGTTGTTATCACTCTGATTACTGATTTGTGTGTGGAGAATTGATTGACGTCCTAGCAGCTAATGTAACAGACGACAGGTGTTTACTAATTTCCATTCACTTTTACAAATATTATTTCATTATTTCTTTTTCCCAATTATAAAAGCTTCAAAGGTCGGCTTTCTGCTTTAGTTCTTTATAGTTGAAAAGGGGTGTGTGGGGCGAAGTGAATTATTGTTGTACGTTGTTAGTGGCGAAATGGCAATGAAGAATGATATTGTTGGGGGTCGGAGCAATTGAACCCAGGCTGGATGTATTGTTGGAACACTAAATAATAGGGGCCGTAGCCCTTATGTATGGCTTCGAGGCCCAAAGTCAGAGTGGGGAACGGGCCTTCCCCGCAAACCAATAAGGAATAGTACTAGTTGTTCAAACAACGGAAAAGACGGAAGGTTGTATCCGTAAATAACTGGGTGTGGTAGTGGTGGGTATAAATAGAATGGAGTTGTAACTCATTAGTTTAAGTTTTGCAACTCCGCTGTACACCTCAGCTCAGACAGAACTCGGCTCCATCAAATTTTTATCGCAGCAAAACGCAGAAACTCTCCCTCTCCCTCTCTCTCTCTCTCTCTCTCTCTTGAGGCACAGGAATCGAAATCATGGTAATCTTCTTCTTTCGGTTTCATCATGTTCTTATGACTTTGTGTTTTTTTTTTTAATTTCATTTTCTTTTGTTTTCTTGCCACCGAAATCATTCTTTTATTCAATTGTGGTCGCAATTATTTTCCCGTATGGCATTCTCCCATGGGCTTCTCTTTGTTTATTTTTGGGGTGGGGGTGCTGCAGTTGTTCTTTTCATATTTCAAGGACTTGGTGGGAAGAGAAGTGACGGTGGAGTTGAAGAATGATTTGGCAATTAGAGGAACCCTTCATTCCGTTGATCAATACCTCAATATCAAGCTCGAGAACACTAGGGTTGTCGATCAAGACAAGTATCCTCACATGGTATGCCCCCTTTTTTTTTTATATTCGCCTTTGCCTATTCATTTCCCCTTCATTTTCTTGTTATCATAAGGGTTTTTCACGGGATTACTTTAAAATTAGGTGTCTTAAAAGTTAGGGTTTCTTTTTCTTTTTTACTTCGTTACTTGGAAGAAATGTATTGGGTCTTCTACGTATCTACTTTTTCTTTCATTCCAACCGGCTTCATTTTTTTGGGGGTAAGCATGAGATGAGGGAAGCTGAATTTGGGGGTTACCAAGTGTTTTTTTGTACGCGCTACCTTCTCTTACAGATTGTTTATTTAGATTTTCTCTTTTGCTATCTGATTTTATACTGAATATCAATCACTTTATCGGTCGACGAGTAGCACTTTCCATTGATTTACTTCTCCAATAGAAGTGATGAGTCCTATAAATTTTCATTTTCTCAGTACCTGAAAGTCCAAATACTTCTCACCTTAATTTACTTATCATTCTTCACCGTTTCTTCTTTGCATCTGATATGCACGCTCTCCTCTACCTATTGGAAAATGGCACTTTTGTTATTGTCCCTCTTTCTTTTCTGTTTTGCTTTCCACGAATGGTGTGTCTCTGTCCTGTGCTATGTCAATGGCAAATTTATCCTCTAGGGTTTATCTGTAGATAAAATTTTTGAGTACTTTACTTTTAATTGGAATGCCTTATTCCTATTTCACACCCATGGTTAGAGAGCACTAGTCAGAAAAGTGGAATGAGGAACATTGTGTTTTGTACTACAGAATATGCCCTGTTAATATTAGCATGATGCTACATGGTCTAGCATTTGGCACATAGGATTATTGAAGCAGGATGTTCTTTACTAGTATTATGTGTTACCTGAAAGAATTTCATCCTAATCTTGGCTTTCAGCTCAACTGTAAAATCTATATAATAATTAATGTTTTCAAGAGGCAGGCAGGAGAGCCTATTCAAACAAGGAAACTTACATTTTAAGCTGCTTAAGGAAAGAGTAGCAATGCGATCTGACTTGTTTGCTGCTAGGAAGGATGGGTTTGTGCTGGATCCGTCTAAACCTGTCACCTTTTACCTCAGTAAGACTTGTGCCAGAAGTGCTGCAATCTTGGAGTGTGTCAAATGTGATGTTAATCTGGCTATCGCTTGTGGTGTATGTTTTGCCAGTTTTTTGCCACTTCTCTTTTCGAAATATATTTGTTTTGAAAGTTTATTTTTTTTCTTTTGGCTTATGTCAGCCTCAAGTCATTTCATGTTGATTGTTGATGATTGCTTGCTTTGAATACAGTTTGGCCATTGGGCATGTTAGATGGAGTGATAGATGTGAATTTGACATGGAAGTCCCAGTTTTAGTGTGTAATATTTTTTTGGTAATCTTTTATTAGTTTTGAGAGTGAAAATACTTTCGTTCTTTTAATTATCTGTTAGCTTTTGAGTCAAAGACTGGTATAGCTTTGAAACACTTTGTTACTGCTGAATGGCGTTTCTTTAACTTTGCATAAAGTTGGTTCGTCTCTCCATCTAATACGCTATCAGTTTTCTATTCTTGTTTTTCTTCTATTTCTTTTTTTTTCTTTTATCTTTAAATTAATCCTTTAGTGCCAAGACATGCATTCCCCAGCGTGGTTGTAAAAGTTATCCTGGAAGGATCACCAGGTTGTAATGTCCTTTTACCCAATACTCATAGCAAGTGTCTTGGTTTGGCTTTGTCATAGTTGGCCATATCAATCTCAACTAGAGCATTCTTCTTTTCCATCTCTTCACATCCCTTGGGCTTGATGTCGCTGCTTCTGTCATCTCTGTATATTTGTTTTTCTCATTTCAATGTTGACCGGCTGAATGTGATGAGTTTCTGTTTGGTTACAGCTTTCAGTGAGGAACTGTTTTATAAGAGGCTCGGTTGTGAGATATGTCCAGCTACCTCCTGATGGAGTTGACATTGAATTGCTTCATGATGCCACGAGAAGAGAAGCTCGGGGAGGCTGAAAAGCATTTGGTGACAACTTCAATGTACTTTAATGAACATTTGATTAAGATACTTTTGCTTCAAATAGTTTCTGAATTAAGCAAAGATAGTGACAAGTTAATGAAGACTGATCCCTCTTTGCATTAGTGTAGACAAATTGATGTTGGTTTGTGCATCAACAAATTTGATTTGTTGAAAGAATATTTCCTTATTGAAGAAATGTGTACAATGCTAGTAGCTAGTTACAATGCTGTGAGATGTTCGTTGAGTAGGAATGAATTCTGAGGATGAGGTCTGAAACATAGGCTGTGGAAAGCTTGTGTAGCAAGGGTATGTTGCACAATGAATAAATAAAGTCACAGCAAGTTTCATTTAGAATACGTAAATGTTGCACAATGAGAAAGATGGTGAGGTTGGAGGTTAATTTTTGGTGCTGTTGGTTGGTTCACTGGCAAGGGCCTAACTTGTTCAGTTATTAATTATAGGAGTTATCACGTATTAGGATTTCAAATTCACCACATTCACAATTTCCTAATTTAACATGATTCCTTGGTATCGAAGGAATAAATTTAGTAATCAACCAAATCATACAGTTTCAGTCCCTTCAAAATGTTTATTACCATTTTTACTCTATCTTTTTCCCTTTCTTGTAAATTGGAAATAATAATCTAATAAATTCGGCCTGATTCAGTTTGTCCACCTTATGATCGCCAATTCCAATTTGGAAACTCGGTGCATTTATTCAATAGAAAAGATCATACTCAAGGCAATCAAACTTGATTTGCTTCTTGAAATGGGATGTTAAGTTACCTTATCTTCTAAGGACGACTCCTTCGTTATTTTGTAAACGTAAGATCTCTTGATCTCTTACATCAATTACGGAAATCAAATCTTCTCCATTGTACAAAACAACGCTTAGGCTTTAATTATTTCCATTTCAGTTAAAGCTAAATGAAGCATCATGATTTTCTGGCCAAAAAGGAAAAATCATGGAGATTTTCTTTTAAATAGCAAGGCAACAGTTCAAGGCACACGTAACTACATTACTCCTCTCCTTACTGTCTTCTAAGAACGTTCATTTCCTTTAATCCCATCAATCATTCTTCTCTTTTTTGCCTGGCCTTGGGTACTCTGGTTCCATATGGGAGATGGTTTGAACTTCCCGGTATGCATCTTAATGTCTTTCTTTTTCACATGTTTTAATACCCATGTTTTCCTTTTCATGGTTTTACGTTTTATTGGCAGACTTGTGTTCTCAAAGTGAATACCCAATGCTGTGCAGCATGTCCCATGAAAGTGAAGAAAACGCTGCAGAAAATCAATGGCATGTTTCCTCCATGAAAGAATATTATAGTACTAGTCTATTTTGAGTCTTAAAGACACTGACAACTTTTAAAATACTTACTGATTTTTTCTTTTCATCTGATTATGTCGCCTAGGCGTGCATGCTATCGACATAGATGCCAAAAATGGGCTGGTGTCTGTTCGGGGCATGGTCCAACCGTCTATGCTCATCCAGACCATATCAGAAAAGGTTGGCAAAAAAGCAGAGCTTTACGCCTATGAGAAGAACCCCAAGATTCAAAGCAAAATGCTAGCCCAAGGGAATAGTTATTCTCCCTGTAAATACGAGAAAAATAACCAACCATGTTCTTTTCCTGATGAATCCACTGACCACGACGAGGGTAAAGACGACCATGATCAGGCTGTCCATAATGAAGTTAAGGGCAATATACCAAAGAGACCTGAAGGCACATTCTCTTGGCATCACCCACAAAATGGCAAGAAAGAGAAGAAACGCGCCTTTGCTGGTTGGTTTGGCAAGAAGAGTACTGTTGAACCAAGAGTGATTGGCAATTTTGGAGGACCACGGCCAGGGTATGCAAGGCTGCCACCTCCACCTCAACCTATTCCACCTCCGTCATATAGATATGGACAGCATGCACCAGTTTATCCCTACTCACCACCTTACCGAATAACAAGGCCGCCGCGGCCATATCCATATGATTTCTATGAGAAGAAGGAAGCGCCAATAGGCAACTCTGCTTTTCACTCATTTCGCGATGATAATGTTAATGCTTGCAGCATAATGTAAGCTGCTGCCCAAATTGAATTTGATTAGTGTTTTTTCAGTTTATCCTCCAGGAATAACATATCATATAACTTTATGCATATGATATGTAGTTTAATTTTGTTCTTTCTTCCAAGGCATTTAGCTGACTCTCAATTTACGACTAAATTTGAAAATTTGAGTATATTGTATGTATGTATGTATGTAGGCATATCTTCATGTAGGTGTGACATTTGCATGCACACATGAATGTCAATGCATTTGGTGATATACATTTCATTTAGAAAAAGGTTGCAGCTATATCATTAATCATATTATCAATAATTATTACATGTCTTCATTTCACATTATCACTTGATAAAAAATAATTATTATAAACCATAAAATATTATTTGATAAAAACTAATAAATAATATTTTGATTAGAAATGTTTTCTCAATATAAAAACTTATTTAATTTAAAATAAAAATATAATAATTTAATTGAATAAAATAAAAATAGATACTATGCGTCTATGCCCATAAGCTTTTGAAAAATACCCCACGGCCATACACACCGGAAATTTCCCGTCATTTTCATCTCCGGAGCTAATACCCCATGGCCTCCGAACCTGATCCTTCAGAATCCCGAACCCAAAGGTCCCATTTCTCTCTTTCTCTATGTTTATGCTTGTGCTCGTTCTGATTGTTGGTCATTTATTGATGAGACATGTTTGGATGCCTAGAAAATATGGGAAAGAATACGGACGAAAATGCGTGTCATTGGTTCATTTACTTTGTTTTTAGTTATTTAATTCCTGGGTACTAAAAAGATAGTAACAAATTTATTTGTTTCCTCGCAGTTTCTCAGGATCTCTCTGCTTTCCTTCTGTTACAGTTTTGTTTGTTTCCATATGAGGTTTTAGCTAATTTCCATACTTTTGCTGGGATATTAAATGCTACTTTACGTTTTATTTAATTGTGATCACTTATATTGTTGCTGTTTCAAGTTAGCCTCTGATCGATCACACTTTGACATTTTGCATTTTTAGCAAAAAAAAAGAACATTGAATATAAGGCACAATACAAATAGTAAAGGGTAAAATGTAAAAGTATCAATCAAACGAAGTCTTAGTACCAAGATTTGGTAGACATAGAGAATATACATCAGCTATCATAATGTAGGCAATTTGAGTTTAACTGTTGATGTATGATACTGTGAAATAAGGGAAAAAATGGATATTGCTGAGAAGTTTCCACTTTTGCTGCTTCAGACATAAACTACGTGATAATAACTCTCTATTTAGATATTTAAGCTGATATTGTCTTTGTTATTCTTGATGATGATACATTGGTAGTGCTTGTAATGCATGTAAGTTTAACGAACTTTTTTCCGTTATTTTTTGTTGCAGGCACAAATGCCCTGCATGCTATAAACAATTTAAGAGAAAGCTGCATCTTATAGAGCATATGAAAATCTCGTACCATTCAGTTCATCAACCTAGATGTGGGGTGTGCCAAAAGCACTGCAAATCTTTTGAATCAGTACGAGAACATATTAGTGGTGAGATAATATGCATGTTCATTCTCATTTGTCAATTTTTATTGTGTAAGTATCTCATCTCTTTCCTTTTACTTAGGTCCATTGGCAAAGTCAAATTGTTCGAAGATTTTTTTGAACCAAGGTTGTAATCTTTGTTTAAAAGTTCTGGATAGCCCTGCTGCCCTTAATGAACATAAACAAAAGTGCTGCCTAAATGCTCCTGTTCCCCTTGTAAGTAGCCCAGTGAAACTATTAAAATGCTAAAATAGAATCTTATCAATGATGGAGCTTTCCCCCCTCCCTCCTTCTTTATTTGTCTATACCAATATGTTATATATGTCCTTTGGACATATGTTTGACTATATTTCTCTTGTATTTTGTGTTTTGGATGTCTTATTTGTAAGTTATATGATAAAATGAATCATGAAAACAAGTAAAAAGTACATTTTGGTTAAAGTTGAGTAACTGGTGCATAGTGACCTTTCTAATCACATTCATACTGCAGAATAACTTGTTTTGAGTTGTTATTTAATTCATTGCCAAATCTAACCTAAATATTATGTTGACTGTTGCAGGGAACAAAGATCGTGCCTTGTATAGAATCTCATGTTATTATGTCAGGTTCAATTATGGATGCAAAGCACAATGGTAAAGGTCATAGAGCCATTGCTATGGATTGTGAAATGGTTGGTGGTGGTAGTGATGGATCAATTGACCTTTGTGCTAGGGTATGTCTTGTTGATGAAGATGAGAATCTAATTTTCCACACATATGTTCGACCACAAATTCCTGTCAGTAATTATAGGTACCATGCTCCATATTGTATTTGATTTAATAAGGTCTTTTTAAAGGAATAGTTCCTTTATTTCCATATATATGTTTCAGATATGAAGTAAATGGGGTAACAGAAGACCATTTGAGAGATGCCATGCCACTTAACGAAGTGCAAGATAAAATATTGAAAATTCTGCACAATGGAGAGTCTGTTGGAAGGATACGCCTAGATGGGGGAAAGGGTAGGCTTCTTGTGGGTCATGGGATACAGCATGATTTGGACTGCTTGAGAATGAAATATCCTGGCCAGCTGCTGAGGTATATTGAACTATTTCTGTCGCTATAAACGCAGCAAGCCATCTAAATTTCTTCTTGAGGAATGAATTTGTTGAAGCTGGTGTCTGTAATTTTATTGGAACCCTATGTGATGTCATTTCTTGTGTTTCCTCGCTCATTTGATGGTATAACTTAGTTCACTTCTAGATGAAACATATCCAAGATATAACTACTTTAAGCGTTAACAAAATTAACTCGTTCTGTTGTGTTTTGCATCTCATCTAATCCTATACTTTGTTTGTTAATCACTTTTGACCTTTATCTAAGGATTTAATTGGCTTTGTAAGGAAAGGATGCATTGCATTGTCTAGTCAAACAGAGTGGAAAAATAAAGTGTAGAAGAATTGGGATAATTTTATATTGTCCTGCTGTTTTTACTTTCTGATTTGACATGGACTTCTTTCAACAACCCCTCCCCCCTTCCTGCCCTTTTTCTTCATTTCTTTTATCTTATTAAAGATGTTGTGCAGAAATGTCCTCCCTTACATGGGCTTTTCTATTGTGCAGGGACACT